TTTATGAGATAATTACGTAAACTTTAGTAGACTATTACGTAAATGGCAGGAGATAAATCAATTATATCCTGGCTAATACTTATATTATGCGTTTTCAATACATTTACCATAATTATAATATAAACAGTCTATATACAGTATAAACTTACCGGATATTTCATAGTAGCTTTGTAGTAAATGCACATCCACTATATATTCTTCAAGTAATAACCATATGTTAATCTTGGAGTAACTATACGCCTAATACTTTTTATAATATATGTAGTGTAGTGGCTACATAGCAACTATATAGCCACGATTTCATAAGTTTCTGTAAAGTATTTTTACCTTTGACCTCCATCAATACAACTTTAATTTCTTTAGCATATGCAGATGTGAATATTCAAGATATAAATCACGATATGTCAGATTTGATATAGCCTACCCTATGACATTTGATAAACCAAATCCGATGTTAACCCTGAGATTGTATCGAAACAAGGTCACGGAATCCCTTTTACCCCTTTTACCACTAATGACTTTATCACGATTCAATTGTGTAGATTAGTTATCACAAGCGAGCCTATGTGGAGACAAGAGGAAGGTTTGAAAGCGTAAAGATTTTTTTATTATTTGGAAGTCCGTAAGTCTATCACCAATACTTTACAACGATCGGACTATATTCTTTTTTTGTAATTAATTTTCCAGCATATATATACTAAATTTAAACTACACATTTTCATAATAATAAATAATACAAATAATATAAATGATAAATATAAAATAAACAAAATAAACAATGAAATAAAAGAAATTGTCTAAAACCCCGAAATGTTACATGTTTATCATAATCGCTTAGATGCTATGCATGCTATCTACTACTTGCCCTAGTACGATTTTAGACGCAATTTGATCGTCAGACATTTTCGAGGCTAACACCGGGTTTTCGGAACCGTAAAATGAATAAGGAAAGTTAATAAAAAAAAAATAAACGATCGATCGAAATGATGCATATGATTTTCGATATTTACGACATTCGAATATTTAAATGTTCTTTTCATTATATTCAAATATTCTATTTTCAAAAATGGAGCAGCGCAAGGCTAAATCAAATTTTATTCTTCATATAAACAAAAAAATATCTTCTATTAGAATATTAAAAATTTTGAAAGATAAAATTACGCGAATATATATGAGAGAAAAGACAATACAATACAAAAATATCAATATCATCATATAGCTCATTTATCTTTATTGGACAATAACAATTCTTTAATACTCGTTAACTCATTTTGCATTTTAAATAATTTTTCATCAAGTTTTTCATTCGTAATATCTTCATCATCCGAATCATCTAAATATGATAATTCAAATAATATAGATTTATGAGTACTTCTATATTCTTCAGCTTTAGCCATCCATTCTTCTTGATATTTAGAACTTCCAACATAATAAATATATCTCGGATTCCCTCTATGACTACCGAATGGTTTTTCTAATGTTTCATAATCAGCGATCAAATCAGCTCTATAACCTATCACCGCTAGTTTTACATTGTTTTTGGCATTCTCATATACACCCGTCATAAATGCGATCAACAAGTTCTGCATAATGATGACCATTAAAATACTTGCGCCTAAAAATGAAAAAAATAATAATTTATTTAAATCTTCAACGCATCATCAGCAAGATAATACATTAGATATGAAATATCTACCTATACTAATTACATGAATTGGCCAGAAATCCCATTCTTCTAATTGATCCCATCTTCCAAGAACCCAAAAATAAACCCCCATAACAGAACTTAAAAAATTAGTATAATAATTCTCAATAGGTTTATCTAGTTCAAAGACTTGTTCAATTTTCGTGTTTACTAAGCCTGGAATTGATGATGATGTGATGTTATATGTATCGCCGTTAGGTATCAGTGCAAGAAGTGTAGGTTTCTCTAATAAAATATGCTAAAAATTTTGAATTTATTATTAAATGAAAAAAAAAAATAGATTGATCTTATGATAAAAAAAAAAGTAAGACATACCATTGCATGACCGAAAGCAATAACCACAATAAACTACAAAATATTTTTAAGGTAAATTAATTAATAAATTATATCATGCTTCCACTTATAATGATATGTGTAAAGTTTACCATAAAAATTAGGAATGGATAAATAGCTTTTAAAATGTTTAAAATCATGTTAATATAAGTTGCAGTTCCTATATAAAAAAAATATTAAGTTGATATTATACAAATTTAATTATAAATAGAAGCATATAATAAAGGTATTTACTCTTAAAGTATCGCGTCAATAATAACTAAATAATAAATTAAGAAATTAAAATCATTGAAGATTAAAAAAGAAATTTAATAAGTATAATACTTACAAATTCAAGCCATAAAAGTAAGACCGCAAACGCTTGCGGAATAATTATTTCTTTATTTTGATACTCATCTTCTTCTCCAATGTTTAAAAAGTAAGTGTTTATTATCGTAACTAATGCAAGGCTAATAGATGCAAGATCAAGAAAATTATATATGCCAAAATATTTCATTCTCTCGTGATATAATTGTGCAATTTCCATAGCTAAAAGATAATATCCAAGATAAAAGGATATTATCAACGAAGAATAATAAGAAATCGCTTGATCATCTAAGATAATTCCAGTATTTAATGCAAAAGTAATCGAAAAGACTATGAATAATAACAAATGACGTAAAAAATAAGCTCTCGCTGCCTCCCATTTAAAATCAATGCATGCTTCCATTGCTGGATTATCATAGAATTCATAAACATTTCTACTTGCATTTTTTCTTATAAGGTTTAGAAAAGGACTAAATTTCTTTTCGTTATGAACCAAATACACTCTTGGCCAAAATATAAGTTTTATAAGTTTTAACAGAAGAGTCGAATTATTATATGTTATATCTGTCGCATTTGTTGGATAAATTGTAAAATCTGGTAATGGAACTACTCGTAAAGTAGTCACGTGTGAAATTTCTTCATCCGTTTCTTTTGATCTCCAATTAATATTAGATTTAAATTTATTCCATAATGAAGACATAAAAGACATATTTTTATTTAATATAAGTAGTCGTGGTCTTACATTTAATGAACAAATTCCTGATCTATATCCATATTTTAATTTACTTTGATTAACAAATTTTGAATCTACATATTCCTCTTTGGATCCAAAGCATGGTTTGTATAATAGCTCCTTCAAATAAGGTTCTATATTCATAATGATATACATATCATTAGCTGATAAATTATACTGATGAATGAAGACTACGTAATTAGGAAAGGTTCCTTTACATACCAAAATTACGATTGTTAAGCGAAGGAAGAGCCTTAGTCACTGTAAACATCCAACCTATCGTAACGGAATGTTTTTTTAGTTATAAATTTTCGGATTCTAATGTGAAAATACATTAACTCACCCGTATTTTTTTCTGCATTATTTGAATAATATTCGAGCAACATGGCGACAATCACTATATCCCTACGACAACCATCTGAAGTATTGTTAATAGCAAGCATCAAATCACTTTCTTTCGAATTACTTTCTATCGTTTTAGCAGACTTCGAATTAATTTCTTTCGTTTTCATAGGCCACTCATATTCCCTTGGAATATGCAAATAACGAATAACTCCCATTCTATCCTGTTTAATGCCAACTGCTTCTTGATAATGGAAAAGAATCTTATTTAACAACGGTATACTCTTTGATCGGATTATATTGGCCATGATGTCATATCTTACTTCAGATAAACTCCATAAATCCGGATTGTTTTTAATGCATGTTTTAATAAGTCTTTCTGTGCATGCAACCAAATCTTTGTATTTGCTTAGGTTTTTTGTCCCTACAGGTTCATCTCTTCGTTTATAAAGATACTCCATAGCAACACATGCGTCTTTGAGGACATGAGCTTCATTTGGCCAATGAATCATAAACTCATTATGCTCTTGTTTTTTATTATCAGTCCATGATAAGCTTAAATAAAATTCACGCTTAAAAACATCTTTCTTCAGAGATACTGTTGTAAATTTTTCTTGATTCGTCCAAATATAGTCTAAAACTTGTTTATTTATAGAGTTTTCCCTCCAAACTTGAACTGTTGTTTCTCCAATAATAAGTTGAATGGTTTTCTCTTCATCAAGATAAGAAATACTAATATTTTTTCGTTTATGAACCCAGGGTTCTTTTTTAACGTTAAATTCTTTTATAACTTTAAAGTCGTCTGTTTTCGAGTAACTTTTTTGAGATTGATTAATGATATCTTTTAAACGTATAAATTTATCTGGACTATATGCATGTATAAATCTATCAGTATCTGGAAAGAAAGCAAGTATAATTTCATTTGAAAAAGCGACTGAATGACAATTAGACTTTTGTAAAGAACTAAAAATATTTAAATGATCGACTATTTTGTGTACATCACATTTAAAGGTGAAAAGATCCCAAATATTTATTGTGACTTCATCGGTGACTTTTTCAGAGTCTTCTTCAGTGACAACGAATAATTTTTCATCATTATTAATAAATGAAATTGAAAGGACTTTGAATGCATCAGTAAATTCTTTCGTCGCAACCTTAAGTCCATTTTCCATTAAATGTATCGAAATACAATTTGTACCACTATAATATGCTAATAAACTGCCATATTTTGAAATGGAAAAAATAGAGTTTCCACTCGTTTTCTTTGGAAGAAAAATTTCATGAAATGTTAGTTCTAAATCCATAGATTGTAAATTATACATTTCAAGTCTTTGATACTTATAATCTTCAACAAATAAATAATTTTTTTCAACGATTGAATTTAAAAATCTCGTACAAGATAAGTCTTGATATAATTTATCAATTTTAACTTGAATTATTGTTGGGAATTCATATTCGGACTTTTCAAAAATAGTTT